CCCCCTCTCTCTATCTCTCTTCTACACTCATCGGTCTTCTTCTGCGTCTTTTTTTTTCTTTTGTATCTCTTCTTCTTTGGTACACTTGGCTCAGGACCGTCGGTCGCACAGCCGTCGGTCGCTGTCTTTCGAAGGCCATCTGAAATTTGTCGGCCACACAGAGAAACGTTGATGGTAGTTGTCGGGATTAAAGAGATAAAATCTCAAAGTTTTGTTTTTTTTAAGTTCTTTTTTTTTTCTCTCAAATTTGTTTATTTTTGGATAAATATTTTTTTTTTTATAATTTTTTTATCAATCAAAATTTTCAAGAACAATTTATTGCTTTGAAGGCTTTAAGTAGTTGTATTGACTGGTACTTGATTTATTTAATTTAGAGTATTTACGAAGTTGTTTTCAAGTTTATGACTAGTTGATTTTTGATTTTTTATGTTGGAAAATTTGTCTGGTAGGTGTAAATGTTGTGATGTTATTTTATCTAAATTATTGATCTTCAATGTTCTTGATTACACGCAGTCACGTCATGGGATGAGCACATCATGTTCCTCGGCCACACGGTCAACTGCTTCTGTGGCTCGGTCAAGGTCATCGGCAACACCGGTAGCAACTCCACTCGAGAGGGAGAATTTTGTTGAGGAAGCGGATGTTAGTTTTTTGGACGACGATGATCTTAATTTGTGTTGATCGGCCGATATTAAAGAGTTTTTTTTTTTTTTTTTTTTTCCTTTCCTTTAGATGTTTGGTTCCTGGGATAGAAATGAGTATTTTTGATTTGTTAGTAGTAACATAAAAATGATACAACATAGTTGGGTTAGATGTGTGCTTATTTTGTGTTAGTCCATTAGCTGGAAGAATATCAGCAATAACTTAATTGTGAGATTCAACAAGCATTGTACCCACATATAGAGATATATGTATTTGTCATAAAAAAATGATATTGATTACACAATTTATGTGTTTTAATTATTATTGCTTTTGGTTTTTAAGGAAACCCCACACTTTCACTTAACCAAATAAACATTACAGTTCACTAGTGCTCAATTTTTTATTTATTAGCCCGGAAAACAATAAATATCCTGATGACAACCAAGAATCAACTTGTATGCATAAATTAAATTTAATAATTATTTTATTTCTTAAGATACGAAAATGAATATATATCATAAAGCCAACTGATCAATCTTTAAGAATAGATTTGAATATGTTAATAAAATTAGGTAGTTAGATATATATTTGTTACGTTAATAAAGTCGCTTTTTAATGTAGATGTTTATTCATAAATAATTTTTTTTAAGATCAAATCTTTAATTAGTTTTTTTCATTATTTTTAATACTTTTGTAGCAATATTTTTTCCTAAAAAATATCGGATAGATGAGTACTTGTTTTTTTTATCCAATAACTCTTAAGAATTTTCATTCATTTGAAATTGTCTCCTTAAAAATAGGAATTAATCAATTAAGCACTAAGTTTTAAAGTTAAAGTTTCAAATATGCATAAACTAATATAGGATTAACGATCTCAAATTGAGCAGTTATTGTTTTCTCGTATTTTAATAAACAACTTGGTAATTTTATAAATACTAGTATGTTGCTCGTGCGATTGCGATGCACGGGAGCATTTATTATTATATATATTTTTTAAAAGATATTTTTGTATTTAAATTGCTCGTACGAAAATAAATATATATCATAAAGCCAACTGATCAATCTTTAAGAATAGATTTGAATATGTTAATAAAATTAGGTAGTTAGATATATATTTGTTACGTTAATAAAGTCGCTTTTTAATGTAGATGTTTATTCATAAATAATTTTTTTAAGATCAAATCTTTAATTAGTTTTTTTCATTATTTTTAATACTTTTGTAGCAATATTTTTTCCTAAAAAATATCGAATAGATGAGTACTTGTTTTTTTTATCCAATAACTCTTAAGAATTTTCATTCATTTGAAATTGTCTCCTTAAAAATAGGAATTAATCAATTAAGCACTAAGTTTTAAAGTTAAAGTTTCAAATATGCATAAACTAATATAGGATTAACGATCTCAAATTGAGCAGTTATTGTTTTCTCGTATTTTAATAAACAACTTGGTAATTTTATAAATACTAGTATGTTGCTCGTGCGATGCACGGGAGCATTTATTATTATATAATTTTTTAAAAGATATTTTTGTATTTAAATTGTCTCATGCCATTAAAAGTTTCATGAAAATGAAATTTATATGTTATTAAACACTTCCTTATGTACAACATTATTGGTTTGATTCATTGGCACGTAAAATACTACATAGGTGTTCGAATTTATCCAAAATTGCATATTATTAGTTATTAGTTAACAAATTTTAAAAAATTAAAGGATCTTATTTATTGAATAAAATTAAAGTAGAAAAATTCTGTGAACCATCAACATTACGTGTCCAAGCTGTACGTTCAACCTGTGGAATTTTTTAGGGATTTTCACCCATTATTTATTTTAAATCTAATTCTAAATTTCAATTAAGAAAAATTTAAAAGAATCATTAGTTAGTCCCGAAAATGAAACCGTTTTTCCTACCAATAAACCGATTTATCAAACAAATTGATCCGAATTTTTTTTAAACCAAATAAAAAAAATCATCAATTTTTCCTAAAAAAGTGCAACCAAATTTTCCTAAAATTGCACCAAATTTTTGTACCAAATAAATTGAACTAAAAATAATTCTAATAAAAAATTGAAATAAATTGTTAATGTTTATGCAACTGTCTCTTACCTAAAGAAAATGATATGAGCTTAACAAAAAAAAAAATGATATGAGCTTACCAATATCTCGGTAAAACATGGTTAAGAAAAAAATAAGAATCCAAAAAAAGATGCATTTAAATTTTGAAAAGTTGCACATATTTTTTCCTAAATAATTGGATAAGGTGACTTTAAATATCATTGATGAACTGCTTTTGTTACCAAAAAACGTGAACATAATTTTGAATGTACATCCCGTCCAAATATCAGTTTTATTTTAAAATAAAAATTGCACGTGGCTTTATTCAATTTACACAATTTTTTTGAAAGAAAAAATTATTCAATAAGATTGGAAGAATTGGTTAAGAATTATACAACTCTTTGCTTCCTAAATTTGTATCCAATTTGCACGGTTTTTAAATTAATTTGTATTTAGAATTATTTTCATAAATAATTGACACATTTTTTGCATAAGAATATCCAAATTTGTTACAAAAAAGATATGATTTAAATTTTGGTAAGAAAATAAAATATGATACGAAAAATATGAGATTCAATTTTGCCATAAAAATCTCCAAATTTGTTACCAAAAAAATAGGATTTAGATTTTATTACTAAAGATTCACATGTGTTTTTTTTTAACTTTCCATTAATAGTAAGTCAAACATTATATTTATTTGGTCAGACTTTTTATTAATGTATTTTTCCAACAACCTTTATATATATATATATAGATAGATAGATATATAGATATAGATTTTATGGAGTTGGTTTTTTTTCTGAACTCTTTGTATGATGGGCAGTTATATAAAGGGAAATTTTCATGTATACTTACTGATTTTTAGATAATTGCAATATTACTATCCATACCAATTAAATTGTGTATATACCTAAAAGATAAATATTAATTATAATCATGCCTAAAATCAGTTACAAGGTAAGTGGAACAACCTTCCATGTTCATAATCATGCCTAAAATCAGTTACAAGGTAAGTGAAACAACCTTCCATGTTCATAATCATGCCTAAAATCAGTTACAAGGTAAGTGGAACAACCTTCCATATTCCTAGCGCGTAATTTCAGGAAATCGGGCAAATAGTACAAAATTTCACGAAATATTCGTCGCCTATATATATTGCTTTAACATATACTGCAAATATACTGTACATATACCCGTCGACGTCTTCCTGTTAATGTCATGAGAAAATATACCGAGAATACACTGATAATATACCGTCGAACGTCTTCTTGTTAATGCCATGAGAAAATAAACCGAAAAGATATTGATAATATACATATTCTAATGATACAAATCAACTGAACACAAACAAAATGATACAAATAAGCAATTCTCATTCCTCCCAAAAGACTAATAATATTCTGAAGAAAATTAATCCGACCGAAACAAACATTCGTCAACAAAAAAATTTGTTAATATACTAAACATAAGCTTATTTTTTGGCAGGAACGCGGGTCATATACTGTACATATACTATACATATACTGTACATATACTCTAATCCAAAAATTTGTCCAAAAACAAAAATAAAAACCTATACTATACATATACTATAGTTATACTGAACATATACTCCAAAATAATCAAATGAAAAAATTCTCAAAAAAGATGTCATGATTTTCTTCTTCTTCAAGGCCTCGGGTGTTTTGACCTCGCTCAGCCTCTTCGTCTTCTTCTTCGCTAATTTCAATTTCAAACTTGAACTAATTAACATCTACGACACACGCAGCCATCGCCGAGGATCTCCATCCGCGAGTCACCGAACATGCGAGGTTTGCAACCGCCGCGAACCACCGCCGGCGTCCGTTCACGTTTATCCTCCGAATTGGTTGTTAAAAAGACTTGGCTGCCTTCCGTTCTGCATATTTTCAATTTCAAATCAACATCATTATCATGAAAAATGATAGATTAATGAAATTTAACAAAAAGTTATAATGGGTAACAAAAATGGATAGATTAATGAAATTTGCCCATCAAACATCAAACCACAAGTAGAAAAACGTATCCAACCGATGGAGATTAGGCGGTCAGCGACGGGGATGACTAGGTGGGCGGAGGCAGAGCGGCGAAGGAGCGGTGGGGGGAGGAGAGCAGCAGCAAATTGTAGAAGAAGAAGAAGAAGAAGAAGAAGAAGAAAAAGATGAGAGAGAGAGAAGAGAGAAGAAGAATAGAGAAGGGAAAAGAGAGAGAAGTCGTATAATTAAGATCCCATTAAATCTGCTTTTACCATATTTAAAAACAATTATCTGTTACTCAATAATCTAGTATGTTTGCAAATAAATATGATAGTTTTAGTTAATTTGCAAATAAATATATATGGGTTGTAAATATGTAATAAAAATGTTAATGAGTAGTGGAGGATGTAATTTCCTCTTATATAAATTTCCCAAGAATACTGGGCGGACCTATATTAGGTTTTAGAGGCTCATGGGCCCCCGTTATCTTTTAAATATAGGGAAATTTGCAAGCATACCAAACGAAATTGAAGTAATTTAGAATTTACCATTCACAAACAAATAATTATGTATATACTTAATAGACAAACAATAATGACATTATTGCCTAAAAATCAGTTACCATCGTAATATCCTCCATTCCATATCTTCTCAGCATGATTTTCGGGATGTTACCAGGAAAAAAAAAATCAGAATTTTTATCCTGCGACTATACATATATATTTAACATATACTGTACATATAACGAACATATATTGTAGATATACCACAACACAACATAAACGATAGAGGCGTGATCGATCTTTTTCTTAAGAAAAGTTATGCAAATATACCACAAAAATAAAATGATTGGTCGATTAAAATAAAAAATATACCAAACATTACTCAAAAATATACACAACATATTTTTACTCAAAATATACCAAACATTACTCAAAATATACCAGCAGAAATTGGGGACATATACTGAACATATATCGAACATATACTGAAAATAGTTCCAGTTTCCAGTTTTTTCTAACATGAACCCAGATTAAGAGCCGAAACTTTAGCCATGGCCCTCGTCTCTGCATCTGCAGGCTCACCTGACGGCGTCGGTTCTTCCCCTCCTCGACGGCGACGGGCGTATCTCAGTGGCATCGCCTCGGTCGGCTGAGAATTGTGCGACGGGGAGAAGGAGATGGATTCCACCATCGAGAATCTACCCCCATCATCGAAAAATCGTCGCTCGTGTACCATCATCACGCTCGAGAAGTCGCCGGTGATAAAGACTTGGCGAAGCTGCGGATCAGCACGCTCGATCCTCTCCTGCAGCAAGTTGTCGAGGAGCCAAAAAAAAAAAAAGAAAAGAAAAACTCTCATCGTATAAACTTGTAGAAGAAGAAGAGAGAGAGAAGGAGATAAGAGAGAGGGGAAGAGAGAGAAGGAGAGTTATTTGGAATGTGATAAGTTTTTGCCTTTAATTACGCCAGATTTAATCTCTGGTATTTGTGCAAATAAAATCCATAAATTATGTTAATATGTTAATATTTTTTAGGGGGTTATATTTATGTAATAAAAGAATAAAGGGAACGTACCTAGTGCAAATTCCTCTTAAATATATATATGGCATTAAAGCAATTGAAATGGACAAATGGCCCAAGTAGAACAATACTGAATGGACCTGTATTAGGTTTAGAGGCCCTGGACCTCCTTATTTTTTAAATAGTAATAATAATAATAATAATAATAATAATAATAATAATAATAATAATAATAATAATAATGATAATAATAATACTAATAATAATAATAATAATAATAATAATAATAATAATAATAATAATAATAAATATGATTATGATGCAAAATTTGAACATATAGATTGTAAATATTGTTTTATTGTGCTAACTTAATTTAAAGCACTTTATCGTACTAGCTCGATTATCTTCGCATGTCTGTCGCGTAATTTATCGCATAATGAGATTTTACTTGCTCGATTATCTTTGTCTGTATGGCGTATAGTTGATCGCATAAATAATTCGTACTTGCTCAATTAACTTTGCATGCCTATTGCATGCTTTATCGCATAATTTGTTTCACACTTGCTCAGTGAACTTCAACTGTCTGTCGCATAGTTTATCGCATAAGTAATTCACACTTTCTCAATTAGCTTTGTCTGTTTGTTGCATACTTTATCGCCTAATTTGTTCGCACTTGCTCAATCATCTTCGTTTATCTATCGCATACTTGATCACATAAGTAATTCGCACTTGATCAAATAATTTCACATGTCTATTGCATGATTTATAGCATAATTTGTTATTTTTCACTTTACCCAATGAACTTCTCTTGTGTGTCGCATATCATATCGTATAAATATTTCGTATTTTATAAATTATCTTCGCTTTTCTGCCGCAAAGTTTATTGCATAATATTTTCGTACTTTATCAATTACCTTCGCCTGTGTCGCATAGTTTATCACATAATATTATCGAATTTATCAATTATCATCGCTTATCTGTCGCATAAGTTATCACATAATTAACTATTTCGCACTTTATCAATTATTTTCGTCTGTCTGTCGCATAGCTTTTTGAATAAATTATCTTCGTCTGCCCGTCGCATATTTGTTCGCATAATGTTTTTGCATTTTATCAATTATCTCCGCCTATCTGTCGCATAGCTTTTCGCGTCAATTATTTTGGCCTGTCTCTTGCATATTTTGTCGTAATATTGTTTCGCACTTTATAAATTATGTTTTCCTGTTTGTCACACGGATTTTCGCATCAATTTTCTTCACCTGTCTGTCGCATAATTTATCGCATAATTGTTTCGCACATTGTTAATTATGTTCGGCAGGGCCGGCTCTGGCCCAGGGCGACTTGGGCAATGGCCCAGGGTCCAACTTGAAAAAGGGGCCCAATGAGAAAAAAAGGGGCCCAATGATAAGAAAATGTCTAAGGCTAAAAGACACATGTCTACACCTCTCAAAAATCTTATCCCGGACTACGAGATTTTTCAACTAATTCCACTTATATATCCCAAAAGGAATTCGGCTAGGCTCATCTAATTCCACTTACTTGTTATAAGCTAATTCCACTTACGGAGACGGCGCTTGTTGTCTTAAATTTATTACATTATCTTTACACTTTATTAAAAATTAATTTAAATTTATGGTTAATGTTAAATTTATTATCTAGAGTTTTACTAAATCATAAAAAACTGAATAGACAAAAAAAATGCAAAAAATAAGCATAATATAAACAATAGATAAGAAAAAAAAAAATACAATCGATAATACAAATCAACTTAAGATAAACATCAAATTATCCCTGACAAAACTGCTTTCACAGATATTTTTTAAAAATTATATAAACCATTAGAATACTTATTTTTAATTTATTATAGAGTTATAAATCATTACAATAATACAAATTGTAAATTTAAATTTATTTATAGTTTATTTTTAGTTTATTATATAAGAAAAAATCAGTTTAATATACAAAAAAAAAATAAAATGTAGTTTATTTTCAGTTTATTATAGTTATAAATTAATACTTTTATACACACAAAAAATGTAAATTTATATATATTTTATTTTCAGAATACAGACTATTGAGAAACATAATGAAATCACAGATCAATTAACACTCAAAAAATTAACTTATAAAAAACATCAAATAAACATCAAATAAATACTAAAAAAAACTATTTTAAAAAAGCTCTCAACTTCAAGAACTCATAAATAAACATCAAATAAACACCAAATAAACACTAAAAAATCTATTTTAATTTTTTTTTCCATTCCCTCTTTCCTCATTTCCTTTCTTAACCTCAATCTCTCTCTTCCACAAATTTTGTCCTCGAGATGACTACAAAAAAAATATTTGTCAATATAAAAAAATAATAATAAAAAATATCAAAATAGAGAAATAATGTTCTAAAATAAAAATACTTATATTCCTCAAATTAACTATCATTAATAAAATAAATAAACCTCAAATAAACTATCAATAAACCAACTTATTAATCAAAAATATCAGAGTAGAGAAATAATTTTCTAAAATAAAAAATGCTTATATTCCTCAAATAAACTATCATTAATAAAATAAATAAACCTCAAATAAACTATCATTAATAAAATAAATAAATCTCAAATAAACTATCAATAAACCAACTTATTAATCAATCAATATCTAAATGCTTTCTTCAACAATCAATATCTAAATGCTTTCTTCAATCCTATCAAGGTCCCATTTCACCAAACAAAATCACATAGCTCACATAGGCACTTTTGAAAAAAAAAACAATATATATCATTCGTAAACTGTAAATAAACTACTGATATTTCATTAAAAAGGAAGTTCATTCAAATCTTCATTTCATACACAATGTCTACTTACTCGTATGTTCAATGAGAGAGATAAACATTAGTACAAACAAGAAAATACTAGAAATTCATCCAAGATTTTTTCACCATATTATAAAAGCAATGTGCTGTTATAAAATTATGCATACAATAAACTACCCGTAATCCATAAGTAAATCGAACAACACTGATGTAATTGGCCAAAAATAAAGACACGAAAAGATCAGTAAATCGACATCGATTGTTTTTTGTACTTTGAAACAGATCTGAATTCAGAGAGTAAACCTTATCGGATACTTGTTTCTGTGCTCTGAGACATGACAATAGTCGCATACGTGCGCCGGGACTTGACAATAGTCGTCCACATCGCGTCCCTCATGAGCCGCTGTTTTTCCAGATCCACATCGGTTCCTTCATTGTTCATCGTCGGGCATAGTGCCGGACCTACAATCGCAGGAAAACACCCGATAGTCGACTCGAGGCTCCCAATCGCCGCCTCATTATATACTGTTGGATGATGAAGTCATGTCGTGTCTCCGCCGGTTTTTGATCCCCAAATTCGAGCCGCCGTCGCCGCCATTTGTCAATTGTTTTCAAAAGGAGAGGTTTGTCTTCGCGAGAATAAAAAATTAAAAGAAGAATTGGATCCGATTTTTTTTATTTCTGGCGGTCGTTGTATTTTTGTGTGTGATGCCGACGCCGATCAGTTGGAAGGAAGAAGAAAAGGAAACATTGAAAGATAAGAGAGAGATAGAGGGAGGGTTCGACGCCGATCAATTGGAAGATAGAAGAAAAGGAATTGAAGAGATAAAAGAGGGAGAGTTTTAATTTATGGAATATAAAACTATGTTTGTGGAATATAAAAGTGTTTAATTTCGTCTTACTGGAACAATGGATATCAATTAGGAATTAAAAACTTGTGCTCATTATTACGTCCATAACAAAACTAATGGTCGTCAAGGGAGTAATTAGTTCAATAGTTTTGGTAGGCTGAACTGCTCTCGGTAAACAACTTTTCCCAAATGATCCTTATTTTAAAACAATTCCATTTCTAGAACTTCAACCTATCATCCCGTTTTTCCTCTTCTTCTTGGACAACGAGAAGGGTTTCATGAAACCCGACGATCTTCCTTATAGCGCCATAAAACAATTGTTCTCTTTCTCCTATTAACTTTTTAATTTATTTATAGTTTATCTTTAGTTTATTTATAATTTATTAAAATTTAACTTAGAAACTTTTGATTTATCTTAAATTTATCTTATATTTATTATATTAGATTAAGTTTATCTTAAATTTATCTTAGCGCCAGAAAATAATTATTCCTCTTTCTCCTATTAATTTTTTAGTTTACTTATAGTTTATTTTTAGTTTATTAAAATTTAATTTGAAACTTTTGGTTTATCTTAAGTTTATCTTATACTTATTATATTATCTCTATAAAAAATTAATTTCAAAAGTTTTTTCAACAAATCGACCAATTGAAAATAAATCCAATTCTATGTATAGAATATCTTTTTTATTTTGAATCTATCATTATTTCTCCTATCAATTTTTTAAGATCATCTTAAGTTTATTTGAGAAAAATAAATCAATAAAAAATATAAAGTTAATATAAACTACAAATAAGAGAAAAAAAACCAATCAATAACCATAATCAAATAATAAATAAACACCACTTTAACTCTCAAAATCATTCAAAACACAAATATAGCACATACTAACAAACAAATTATTTAAAAATTAACAAAAATTATTTAGAAATTAACAAGAACATAAATGGCTTCCCCAATCCCCCAGGCCTTCCATATGCAAAAGTTTTCTACCAGAAGGTATTAAGTACTGCAAAAAAACTCCATTTTCATATTGTACAATTGCATATTCCCTAATGGCCGGCGGATCGTTGAACACCATGATTCGACCCAGACGAACACCATATGATATGGTCATCTGCACGATTTGCTTCTCGGGCCTCGGAAAGATGGAATTCCATCACCATTTTTTACAGATCTCAAATCCAACTCATATATCTAAGATCAATCAATGAAACAACCGAAGCAAAAAATGTACTAAATGAATGCCTTATTTCAGATCCCACATAAGAAGCGGCGGTTTAAAGCATCGATATGTCGGAATCGCCGACGAAAATTGAAATTTACTAAACCCTATATTAGTAAACACACCTCGATCGGGGCGGCGAACGGTGCAGGCGGCGGGAGGAGGGAGTCAGAGGGGGAGAGGGCCTCAAAGCAGGGGTGACGCTGGCCGCGAGATGCCGATCCTTTGTTGGCGGCGAGATGCAGACCTTCTGGACGGGGAGGATTGGCCGCGATATGTCCATCCTTTGTTGGCGGCGAGATGCAGACAAGGGAGGATTAGGCTTTGTGTATAGAGATAATTAAAGAGGGATTTAATTGAAAGAAGTCAAAGACTGTATTTATGAGATTAAAGTGTTTATAAACTCGTAAATATGAACTATTTAATGTTGAAGTGGATTGAAATTTCTAAACTCGTCTCTTGGGAAATAAAAATAAATGAAGCCGTGTGCCGGGGGTAATTTTCTCAAGATATTTCGGTATTTAATTGGGCCCCTTTTCTAAGTTTAGTTGGGGGCACAACTAATTTCTAATGGACAAAAAATGAGAAGAAAAAAATGGTTTGAATAATTAATTAGGCATTTTCTTACAATTCGGCCCATTTTTCAAGTTGGGCCCCTTTTTTTAAGTGGATGGAGGCACAACTAATTTCTAATAGACAAAGTTGAAAAAAAAATGAACAATTAATTAGACATTGAGAAAATTACCCCCGGCACGGCTTCATTTATTTTTATTTCCCAAGAGACGAGTTTAGAAATTTCAATCCACTTCAACATTAAATAATTCATATTTACGAGTTTATAAACACTTTAATCTCATAAATACAGTCTTTCACTTATTTCAATTAAATCCCTCTTTAATTATCTCTATACACAAAGCCTAATCCTCCCTTGTCTGCATCTCGCCGCCAACAAAGGATGGACATAAGGAAAGAGGTAATAAAATAATTAATTAAGCAACGATATTCGATCATATTTATCGAGGAACACGAGGGCGATCTCGTCTCCATCAGTGTGTGTGTAAATGTGTGGCTAAAAACCCCATGGGGCACTACCCCAAGACACTACCCGGTAAGAGAACAAGTTGGGCATGTAGTGTAGAGTTCAGTGAATCCCTAGCAAGTAGGAGAATAAATTATATACCAGACAGTCTACCGATTAGATGGATTGATTCATTATATCTTATATTAAGAAATGCATATTAATATTATTTTTTAAAGTATATCACTTTGCATGAAAATATATATATGTATTTATTAAAATGTTTGTTGTGTAAAGATCCACCTAACAACTATCTCAATGAAGTAGTGGAGGTATAAACAAGTGTGTGTACATACACTTGACACGTGATTGATAATAATTGACATAAAATTTGACTTAATATACACATGACTAACATTTATAGTTACACACTATATCAACTTTAAAACCAACAATTCATACACTTGGATTATTTATGTCATGTATTAGGTAAAAAAAAAATGTAGAGTAGCATTATTCTACAACTCAAATGTCAATGAATGTCATATTTATATTACATAACGTAAGTATTTTTTTTCTTTTTTTATATTTAGTGGGTCGATCCATTTAACAATTATGCCTACTCATACCCAGTGTTCTAAAAGTCGCTAGGCGCCCGCTAGACGCTTGGCCAGTGCCTAGTGCCTAGAGCGCCTAGGCGCCTAGTCGGGGCCCAGAAATCAATAGTAAATACCTTATTTTTTATGTATTTTAATTACCTACGAAATAAAATTATCTCAACATATAATGAATTCACATACCAAAGTCCAAATAATAATATTAATATATATTAAAGAAAACATGAGAACAAAATAATGTAATTAGTATTTAAAAAAATAATAAAAAAAAATATTGAAAAATTGCCGCCGAGCCCTAGGTCCGCCTACGCCCGCCTAGACGCCGTCTAACCGCCTGGCCGCCGAGTCCGCCAAGGCCGCCTAGGAGCGCCTAGGGCCGCCTAGGCCCGCCTAGCCGCCTGGCCGATTTTTTCTGCCGATTTGTACAAATCGGAGGCGCCCGGGCACCGCCTAGCGCCTAGGCGGCCGCCTAGGCAGATTTTTAAAACAGTGCTCATACCAAACTTTGTGATTAAGAGATCTAATATTGACATTAGATGGTCGCACATCTTTTGCATCTTAGTCGTAAAATTAAAAGACACTCGCTAACTTTTTAGAGCACCCACAATATTTTGGGTCTCTTTAAAAAAAAAAAAATCACATGCCATGTAGATTTTTTTTTGCATTGGATAGATTTTGGATTTTTTAGCTTGGGTTTGTCCATATCATTATAGACTTAAATATATTTATTTGTTATATATGCAAAAAGAGATCTAAAACATTATGGTGGGTGCTCTTACCGCATTCCTTTCCCAATACGTTAACTAGCTCCGAAAGGTTATTAATACCTAGAGTACTCAAATTAGGACAAGCTACCCACAAGTCATTAGGATTGGCTGTCTGCAGGTAATTAACATTTACATTAATTCCTTGTCTTAAATAACAGCAATAAGCAATACAAGTGTAGATAGATAACCACAAATCTCTCTTTTGTTAACTTTTATTTCCCATATCCACACTTCTCATATATACACGCACAAATTAACCAAACTAGTTTTCTCCTGAAACGTACAAGCAAAGAAACACCATGCTCACTCTCAAGCATACACTTCCAATTCCTCGCATTCTCTATCCAACCTCAAGAAGCTCACAAGACAAACCAACTCTAATTCCACGCCGTCAGGTCACTAACTCGCTCTCATCTTCGTCTTCGGTGACCGTCCCCTCACGGTCGCTTTCTCTCTCTAACGAGTCCACTCTCTCTCAAGAACCCGAAACCGAAACCGCACAGCCAAAGAACGCATGCCCTCCGAACATGTGCCCTCTCACTCCCATAGACTTCCTCGAGAGGGCCGCCCTCGTCTACGGCGACTGCCCTTCCATCGTGTACCACGACACCATCCACACGTGGTCCGAGACCCGCGCCCGCTGCCTCCGGCTGGCCTCCTCCATTTCCTCTCTCGGCATCGCAAGGGGAAACGTGGTCTCCGTCCTCGCCCCGAACTTGCCCGCCATGTGCGAGCTCCACTTCGCGGTCCCCATGGCCGGGGCCATCCTCAACACTATCAACCTCCGCCTCGACTCTCGCTCCATCTCCAACATCTTACTCCACGCCGAGTCGAAGCTCGTGTTCGTCGACTCCCAGTCGGCCTCCCTCGCCAGCGAGGCCGTCTCCATGCTCCCTCCGGGCCCTGCCCGGCCCGTTCTGATCCTCATCCGCGACGAGCACTGCGAAAACTACGATCATCGTTACGACGGCTTCCACGATCTCGAGTACGAGGACATGGTCGGGCGGGGCGACCCGAGCTTCGACTGGGTCCGGCCCGTGAGCGAGCTCGACCCGATCTCCTTGAACTACACCTCCGGGACCACGTCCTCCCCGAAAGGCGTCGTCAGCAGCCACCGGGGGGCGTTCCTCGTCTCGCTGGGCTCCCTCCTCGACTGGGCCGTTCCGGCCCGGCTCGTCTACCTCTGGACGCTCCCGATGTTCCACGCCAACGGGTGGGGCTACGCGTGGGCCCTGGCGGCGGTCGGTGGCGCCGGCGTCTGCCTCCGCCGCGT